AAGATAAAATGAATAAATAATAATATTATTATTATACATATAAAGTTAAAATACTTTGACTGTAACGCCCAGTATGTTAACTGTTAAGACGTGTTGTAACAAATGAGTGATCAGTAATAATAGGTAAATCGCTCAGAATAATTAGCAAATATGTCACTTTGGATCCGCTTATTCTCGAATGAAATAAAAAACCCACGCGTTTAACCGGAAACCGAAGTGTTTCATCAATCCTGATCATAGCGAAAAATCTAGTTTTTCGCCTACGCAATAGCAATAACTAATGCAATAAATTATAGTGGTAAATGAGAAAAATAAATTTTGTTTTGCTTGTCCTGAAAAATTCAAGAAAATGGAGTAATCTGGTGGTTGCAATGGACCCTTACTGTTTACCGACTTACCGTACTATACTATATGAATTGCCAAATTATTATCTAGACTTGATCGATGGACAGAATCAAGGAGGCGAATAAATAAATTATACACCATATAATATTATCGCGATTTTCGAGTTTTTTTTTTTTATTGTTGGCACAAGTAAAAAAAATATTAATTATAATAATAATAATAATGGGGGGCTGTATGTAGTAGGTACCATAAACATATTAATATATGGACAGGGAGTCCCCCTAATATAGGTGGCCAAGTGCATTCAAGTTGGAAAAAGATGACCAATACCTCTGCGGCTCTACATAATATGATGGGACCTAAGTGTATGCTATCTTCTAAATTCTAAGAATGTTACTATCATTGTTTTTGAACTTCTTTCTCTCTCTCATTATTAATTGGCTACTTTATATTATTATTCTATAAAAATCCAAAATTGTATGTAATATTTATCCAACAATATTGGCCCCTTGGACCCATATGTCTGTTATCGGTCCATTTGTTTATAGATATATCATAGGGCTAGGGGAGGTGGATGATTGTTCTGAGTGGCACTTTTGGACCTTATTAAAATCCATTGTGTATTAAACCACATCGAGCATTGGGAATTAATTAATACTTGATGGGTTATTTTTTATTTGTTTAATTTGTTTTTCTAATTTATTATAAAATTAACTGTCGATAATTGGCGTAGAAGGTACCCACACAACAATGAATTAATAACACAAGAGTCTGTTATTTGATGTTGAAAATTAGTTGTACATTTAACATGATGTTATATCTAATGCAATATTTAGAAGTGTAGTATATGAGTACTTCGCAGTGTATTATTGTGAACCTATATTTGGTAACATTTTAGTTTAATAAATTTAAATATTAATAAGTCTGTTACGAAATCGAAATAATAATTTTGTAGTATTAATGAGGAATCAATTTTAATAATAGACGGATCGGCATCGGTATCGTTCCTTTACAATAATATTCTCCGCATAATATATAATTGGTATACGAGTTCCGAACAGTTTTCTTACTCCCGACGATTAAACGTACAGTGTATATAAGTTCATTAAATTCGGCCTTGTCTTCATCGTCCCACAATAATATCATTGATCTCTCGACCCCTTTACTCTCAAACTCATCATGTACACCTTGTACTTCACAAAGCATGTATATACGTTGAGATTCATCTGGTACCAATCAGTGAACTTAAATTTTAATTCGATATTTTACGTGTCAAGACGAGACTCGTTATAATAATATGCATTATAAGATGTATATACAAAGTCAGGTACTTTATACACGTTATAATATCTAAATCTAATAAGTAATAACTCTCTATGGCTTTAGCCACATAATAATGATATTATATTGTTACTAATACTAGTATATGGTAAATTAAATACTAATTAACCAATGTTTTCTGGTAAATATCAAACGGTTACACCACACTGACGTAAAATACGAATGTGTTCGTACGCTAAAATACTAAATAAATAATATAATATCTTAGTGCATGTTATAGGTATCAATTAAAATTTAATTTATTTTTAGTATGCCTCGGAATGGGAGATAATGCAGTTTTATGGTGAATTTTAGTCAACAAGTTTTCACAGTTATATTTTATATAGTTGAACAATTATAATAATTAATAATATGCACGTTTATAAGAAATATGGTCGACGATCGTATATAGACAATAAACATGAAAACCTTTATTGCATGTTAATAATACCTATAGAGATATTCGAATTCCTTTAATATTTTTGTATAATAATTAGGTAAGATACTGTACCTATTATAATATTTATTTGCATATATACATTAATATATATATATATAATGCGAACATTTTAATTTTCTTATGTAAAATAAAATTGAAAAGTTGGTTTATATTTAGTATAGACGTATAATGCAGTCTAAGAAACCATAAATCTGGGTGTGTCACAAAGTTATATAATTATTAAATACCAATTCTAGAAACGGTAGATAGATTCGAGAGTGGTGAAATATTAAGTATGTACGTAATATTATAAAACATGCTCTTATTAATTTCACTCACATCAAAATTTAGAAATGAATAATCTTATACCGATACTGATTAAGATTGTCTAATTCATAATTAAAGGAAATATGTAGGTATGTTGTAACTGTAGGTACCTACTAAATTTGAGAAATATATATAAATAAAAATAAATATAGGTAAATACTCCAAATAAAAATACATTGTAAATATGCATAAAAAATATGAGGCTAAACAGATTTCATCAGTTTTTAAATTTAACATTTGTAGACAATTATCAAAAACTCAATTTAAAATCAAACGAATAACCTAATCGTAATTTATATTAATTCGTAATATTCTACTATAACATTTACTAAAGCCTTGTCTCACTTACACGTGTTGCTTACCTACCGTAACAACCTTATACCCTACTAACCCTACCAACCCAAGTCCATAATCCCTACAAATAGCTAATGGCCATAGTTTCCGGGTCCAAGTTAAAGTAAAAAAAGTGGGTAAGTGGATGTGGCTCTGCTGTACAGTAGGTTACAAGTGGATAGTGTTAAATTTGAATTTAATGATACAATATCATTGTATAAGGAAAACGATTCTGAGCGAAAACGGTCACTCAGCCTATGATATTACTAAGTATATTTTATGATATTAAGGTGAATACAGTAATTTATATACATATAACCTATTTACGTGGAATCTTGTTTTAAATATTCAATCCTTAGCTATAAAAGTTGGACATTTTATAAATTTTTAACTACAAAATAATTATTAAATTTTAAATGATTATAAAAAAATTGTACCTATGTATTTCTAATATTTTTCAACTGCTATTGTAACAATATATCAGGAGCCTTGCATGAAATTTTAACCCTTTTTTTACCCAACAATTATAATTTAATTGATATTTATAGAAAAAAAAACTAAAAATTAAAAACTGACAATGTCCTTAAACAGGTCAAAAAGAGTCAAATTATTTTAAAAATTGTATGGTGTATAGAAAATGCTAGTATAAACATTCAGTCGAAATTTCATGTACCTACGTTCATTTGTTTTAAGATCAAAATCGATTATCTCGAAATTCCCATTTTTCTTTTGTTTTTCACGGCGCTTTTGAAAACTACTGGCAAATTTTTACTGTCCTAAAAGGTGAGGACAGACACAAAAAATAAAATAAAAATAAAAACACATCATTAAAATCAATACATTCATCGCTCCGTTCAGAATCTAAATATATACATATATTTATGTATATTATTATAATAATTTATTGGTAAATGTTTATGTAAGTAATTAATAATTATTATTTATAAGTCATAAACTCATAATATTCGTGTATTTAATTTCCAAAAAAAAAATAATTCAATCTCTTTTCATAAAGAAAACCAGAATGATGCTTATAACAGAAAATCTTTTGTTTGTTTTCTATTATCAGAACTACCTTATTAGTTCTTAAAAGGTAGAAATTAATGAGTTCTTTGATATTTAGATGTTATCACTTTAGTATTTTATATAAAAATATTATGAGTTATATTCTATATTCACCAAAATAATACTTTATTTGATTATTATGATTTGTAGTTTAGCGTTGAAAGTATAATATTTAATAATACTTGTGGTTGACGAAAACAATATATAACTATTCATATCAGACATTTTTCAAATATTTTTGAAAAGTATGAATTGAACCGATAATCTAGAAAGATCGAACGTGGATTAAAATCCTAGTTACAAATTACTTTGAGAACTCGAAGCGTGGTGGAATCTATCCAGTGGGCACACTCAAAAATAAATAAGGGTAGAATTATTGAATCGGTTATCTCTATATTGGCTAATATATTAATGGCTATAGCCTACAATTATTCAATAGTTTATTTTCAATATTTTTATACGTAGTAGAATTTTTATGATGTACATATTTTGGAGCCAGGGGGTCCACCCACCCATCTACAAAAAAAAATCTTTCCAGTGTGCTCCACTAAAATCTATCCATTAACCGTTTTATGGACAAGTATGTGCAACGTAATATATTATCATAGTATATTATAATAACGTGGAAAATTCATTAGTTATCACTTATGGTGTTCTATAACGATAGCATTCTAAATTGAATATCAGAGCATATGTTGACTGATTCGATGGTCCTTTGATCGATTCAAATATGTAGCGAGAAGACCTTCAACTCGTTTATTCGGGTTCCCGAGATTATAATAGACGGTTAAATTATAGCGAACACACCGCGTCTTCATTCATGGTATTATTATTATTATACAGTTTTATTCTTCTTTTCGTCTATTACGTCGGCACTGAGAGGATAAAATGATTGTGTTGCGCGTACAAAACATACCTCGGTAAACCAACATGTTGGTGCCCATTACCCGAGGGGGAAACCGGACGACCCGGTGACCCCCTTGGGCGCTCACGCCCTCGCGTGTCTGTCCACTCGCGCGGGCGAACGCCGTTGCCCCCCCAGGACAGGGCAAGTCTCGCAATAGTCGGCCGTGTGTATATATACCAGCCAGGACCATCCGATTAACCACAGTCACCAACAGTACACACAACAAGTACTACAATAACGGCAGCTCGACAACTCCAATACAAAATGTCCGCTAAAGTAAGTGTAATTTCATATTATTATTGCAGTACAGCGCGTGCACACTCGGTCGTTCGGATATAAGCCTTCGCCTTATAAACAACAAAATAGAATATCAATAAAATTCAACATTCTATTGTCGCGATCATTCTATTTGTTGAGAATTTATTTTCCTCTTTATACTTCCAATTACTTAAGTTTTTAAATCGTTTCAACTAGATGAGATGGAGTGTGCATTAAATTCTGTTAGGAATAAATTCTATACCCAATACAAACCCCTTTAATAGTTGCGTTAACCGTTCACCACATCCTTTTAAAGTTTTAAAATTACTCTGACGTTAAACGGTTAAACGGATATTTATAACGGGTGATCAGCGGTGGGAGACTGGAACACGCGTGGATCTCGTTAGGATTGACGAGGATTAAAGGGAGTGCGGCAAGACGGCCGGTCGACGTTGCTCAACACGTGCGATCGTGAGCACACGTAACAATACAACACTTGGGCGCACCGCTATCGACCGGTTTCCATGACTTTTACTCACAGACCGGCCGACGGACCGCACATAATAATAATAGGTACCGTCATCGTCGTCACGACTGTCTCGTTGAACAAGGTCGTACACGAAAAGCCGATAAATCCTCCTCCAACCGTCAATACTATCCTTTTACGGACCGCCGTGGCCGATGGTTCACCCTTTCTCTCTCTCTCTCTCTCTCTCTCACTAACGCACACTCCGATATCGGTGTGATAAAACTAACGTTTATGCCTTATAGTGAAGAATTACAGTTTACTAATAAACGTTTTGAATTTTTGTTTTCAGTTGATCATCTTCGCGGCTTGCGCCGTCGCCACCGCCCTGGCCGTCTACAAGGAACCTTCCTACCCGTCTTACCCATCCGCCCCGGCTTACCCAGCACCCGCCTACCCCGCAGCCCCAGCTTACCCAGCACCAGCATACCCGTCTGCCCCCGCCTACCCATCTGCCCCAGCTTACCCAGCAGCACCCGCATACCCAGCAGCACCAGCCTACCCAGCTGCACCAGCCTACCCAGCAGCACCGGCCTACAAGCCAGCTTCATACGCCGCCCCGAAACCCTATGCCCCAGAGCCAGCCTACTCTGCCCCGTCTCCGTACAACTTCGACTACAGCGTGCACGACACCTACACCGGTGACATCAAGAGCCAAAACGAATACGCTGACGCCAACGGTTACGTCAAGGGCTCCTACAGCCTGGTCGAACCTGACGGCAGCAAGCGCACCGTGGAATACACCGCCGATGACTACAACGGTTTCAACGCTGAGGTCAAGAAGGAAGGTGGATACCCCGCACCCGCCTACTCCGCACCAGCCCCGGCCTACAAGCCAGCCCCAGCACCATACAAGCCCGCATACTAATAACACCACCGTCAAAATTTACTGAACGTTGCATCTCATTCACCGACATCATCATTGACGACTTTCAAGACTGTTTTAAGTCTATCAGTATATTTTCGTAGCTGAATAATACTTATTAATACACGATATCTCATGCGTGTGTTTCATATATATATGTATAATATATTATATTTGTGTATTTACTATTGTCATCGGTTTCATCTTGTTTTTTTGTAAATAAACGTCATCCATGTCGTAACAGATAAAGAATTGTTCACTATTTTTTATCTTACTATAAATTGTTATAATACATTTTATAATGAGAAATTCATTACGACTTTCCATTTTCTACGCCGTAGCTACATATAGACGAGCAAATGCGTTTTGTTCCTCAAGGCAACCGGCCCATACAGCCATACGAGTACTAAATAGTATATTATATTACACCACAGTACTAATATGGTTTTTAGTTAAGTCTATGCACAATTCATGGTGAACATACATGATTCAAAAATAAAAAGTATACCTACTTTACAAGCAATTTGTTATGATAAACTATGACCTACAATTGCTTAACTATATGTTTCTCAGGAATAGTATTGATAATTTTTTATTAATTTATAGCATTTTATATAAATAAACCATTAATAAGATTCTTGTATTACATTTTAATTGGTATTAAATATATATATACATATATAAATCATATTAACTACAACATGGACATTTTTTTAAATTTATTCATTTATGTATACTGTGCAATGTGGGTACATGGTTATATTGTTTATTTTAATATTTTTTTTCAATTCTGAGAATTACGTTCCAGGTAGTACTTTAGTGCTTTACACCAAATAAAATTTCAAATCATATTTTATGTCGTTATATTCATCAACTTATCAAGTTAACGTAATGTGATTTACTATTCATTGTATTTTTGTAAGAAAAATAATGGCAACGTAATGTATGATTTCGTTTCCCATTTTCATAATAAAAAAACATGAACGTTTCGGAGTTCTTAATAATATAAAAAATACAATACGCGTTGTTAAAATTGAAAAAGTACGTAGGTAGGTACGTGCAACCACTGTGTGTATAATATATATATATATATATATATATATATATATATATACCATGATAAACAAAATAGTGAAAAGTGAATGTATTTTGTATTTGCTCATACACGAGTTATTAATACAATATATTATGAATATATTATGTATATATAATACAATAATGAACGTTAAACATGTGATGCAGGTAAAACATAACAATACTTAAAAGTAAATGTATATTTATTGATAGCACATACATAAGACTTATGTGTTTTATGATAAAATCATTCTTCACGCATGTCTCGAGTTGTTATGAAAGTTCATACAAAGTAAATCATTATATTTATATAATAATGTTTAACATAAATTGTTTATATTGCGTTTGTGATATACATATAATACAGTATTCCAAGTAGTTGAAGGGAAACGATATCGGTGTTCAAATAAATGTGTTTACTTTTGTAGTTTTGTTTCCCTAAAACAATCTTTATAGAAACAAAAATACACATATTATACCTACATAATAATATGTTGCTTCTAATTAAGTTTTTATTTTTTTTTGTTTTACCACTATATAATATAATATATCATAATGTATTACTACATTTAAATAATTATCACGTACACGAAGTCTGTATAATTTTTACAATTTTGTGAATTTATGTGGGAATTGGGTGTGATTTTATCTTGCATCAAATTTGCATGCCTCCATTTCGGAACGACAAATAAAAATGAATTTAAAAATGAGTGTTAAAATTAAAATCAGTTGAATATTTGTACACTTTTTTCCATTAAATCTTTAATTTGAGATTATATTTATTATCTCTCCGAAAATTGTTATTTTTCATGTTTTTCAGACATTGATTATTATCACAGAACAATATTTATTATAATAATATTTTATATTGTTAACATAATATGTACTACCTATCTTAGTATTGTTACATACAGTTGATTTTTATAGAACTTATTTTTTTTTTTAAATATGACTGTCATTTTTTTTTTTTGGTAATCAAATTAAATTATACTATGTTTTAGATGCTTTTAAATGATTTTAACATAATCTAATATCTAATATATCTTCTGATAGCTAAAATTTATATATTTTGTCTAACCAACAACACAGGAAAGTAGTAAAATTGCCTATTTCATTTGCCGTTCGTTCAAAAGGGATTGATAATAATGTACCTATTATGCATAATATTATCCAACCAGTAACAACCCTTATATAATACAAAGTAAGTTGATAAAATATATAAATGTGAGAGACTTAGGGTGAGAGGTAAGGGTCATTTTTTATATGGATACATTACGTTAATTTATAACTTTATATTTAAGTTGAACATAAAAATAATAAAGTAATTATAGTTTAACCCTTATTATGATATAAGATTTATTATCTAATAAAATTAAATGATGATAAATAATGGCGAGGCACATCGGTAGAGAAACACTGATCGTCTGAAAATTGAATTCATTACATTTAAAATAAATTTAAATAGTTTACGTCCAATGAAAGGAATTTATACCTATAAGTCATTAAAATAAATCTACCTAATAACATATTATTTTAAATTGTTGAATTTATTTTTGATTTTTAATTACAATAAAACACGCGACTTGTATATACATTTAACTGTGGGTACTAGCTACTACCGATATGATATGCATTTTTATACATATAGGTACTCATCCTATTTTTATCCTTGAATTATATATTTTTACAGTTTATTTTATATGATACTTAAAATCATTTGAAATCGTTAGATGATATAATATAACGCAACAATTTCACACATTTTTAACTTGACTCTTCTAAATCCATACATTGCATGTTATTATAGTATTATACTAAATCAAATGTACATTATAGGTACTTGTTATTATAATAATATAGTGTAAATACATGTGTATACAGTATACATTACGTGTCTATTTTTCCAAGGATTAAATTGGATTTAACACATATATTAAGGATTACACGTACATTATTATAAATTATAATGTGTAAACAGTAAATTAAATAAATTCTAAACATCTTAAGTATAACGGCCGTAGAAGGGTAAGCTTTAATGTCCGTCCCTACAAAGTACAATAGACTAGTGTTGTATAATACAGGTGTTATGAAGTACATCTAAAAGTATTCCTCTAAATACGTTTTGTACACGTGGACTAGAAACTTATATAAAAATATTGGTTTCTCTCTCTGATCAATATGCAACATACTAAATTTGTGTTCAGAAAAACCAACATTGTGTTAATTGCTTTAGTATTAGAGTGAATCGAACTATTATCAAATTTAATATTAAAAATACTATCTAAGTATCTACGTTTGTTTTTTTTTACCATATTTCAAGTTTTAGGCAAATGACAACTAAAATATTAGGTACAGTTTAAAAATGCTTATATTTCGCTTTAAAATTGAAATATCAGGAAAACGACAATATACGAATACAGATAATTTTCATGAATCTTAGTTAAGAAGTAGAAGGTTTGATAATAACCAATAGGTTAGCTTATTCCAATTATAAAAACTCACTACGTTGGTTCTCCTGAACGTAAATTATCTATGTTGCGCGTGGGTCAGAGAAAGAAAACAAATACTGACATAATTTTTTAATGGCAGTTTTAGTGTCAAATACTCAAATCCAAATTTGATTGCATTGTTGTTATAAGTTTTGAACTTTTGAAGTAATTGAAAATGATCATTAACAATTAATTTTTTGTAATTTCTAGTCCGTAGTATAACATTATACGTGCCTTTCTATTTGCAAATAAAAAGGATGAGGTATTGTAAGTTGTTGACAGTGTTTAATATAGGCCCGTTGCATCCCAGCTGTGACATATTGTCATTGTTTATCAGACATTTTTTTTTTATTTTAGATTCTGAGTGAAACAATGAATGTATTGACTTTACAATGATGTGTGTTTTTTTTAATTTTTTAATTTTTTTTTTTATTTTTTTTATTTTTGTGTCTGTCATCACGTTTTAGAACAGTAAAAAAGCTTGGATATTCTTCAAAAGTAGCTTTTCTGATAGGAAAGTGAATCTAGTTGGTACTTTGGGGGGGTCAAAAGTAAAATTTTCCAGTAGTTTTCACAAGCGTCGGGAAAAACAACATAATAATTAAGGAAAAACGAGAATTTTTACTCAAAATCGGTTTTCCAAAAAATCGATTTTGGTTTTGGTGTAACTCTAAAACAAATGAACGTATATACATGAAATTTTCACTGGTTGTTTATATTTGCATTTTATATACACGATCACATTTTCAAAAATTTTGATTTGTTTTGAACTGTTTATGGACATTTTCATTTTAAATTTTTTTTTAGTTTTTTTTCTAAAAATATCAATACAATTTTATTTGCTGGTTGCGAAAGCTTGAAAATTTAATAGGAGGCTTCTAGTATATTATTTCAAAGGTAGATGAAAAATATTAAAAATCATTAGTCACAATTTTTTTTTATAAGCATTTAAAGTTCAAAAATTGACAAAATATGGAAAAATCACTAAAATTAGCAAATTATTTTGAGTTAAGAATTCGTAAAAATATTTCTTTTAAATTTAAGATTTGAAAATGTAATACAAGATTCCTTATAAGATTATCTACCTTTATCAAAAAAAAAATGTCTATAAGAAGGTCAAATTAAATTTTTATGAGCGTTTGAAATTCAAATTTTTACAACATTGGATATTCACTTGATTTCTCATGTAGCGATTTCCTTATTTTGTTGTAATTCAAAAACGAATAACTGTAGATACATGAAAATTTCACTGAATGTTTAAATTAGCATTTCCTATACACCGTACAATTTTGAAAATATTTTGACTCTTTTTGAGATGTTTACGGACATTTACAGCTTTCAATTTTTTTTAGTTTTTTTTTCTATAAATATCAATAAAGTTTTATCTGTTGGGCCAAAGAGTGTAAAAATGTAATACAAGGCTCCTGATATATTCTTACA